TAAACCACATAAACATGCACACACACACACACACACACACACACACACACATACTAACACAAAGCACCACATTACTGTAAAACATCCCAGATATCAATCCAAAAACAAAGTCAAAGGTAAACAAATGAATAAACAAACATGCAAACAGACAAAAAACACAGACTGATAAAGTTTTTCTCATGAGGGTGAGGCAACCCTTACATCGGTCATGCATGAATAAATAAGGCGTGAAGATACAGGAAAGTAAAACCGAGTGCCTCGTGAAGCACAAGGAGAAAGCGTCAGATCCTGGCTGCTTGACAGCGTATCGCTGCCTGTGGCTACACGTCTACTGGGACGCTAATATTGAGCTGCTATGACGTCACTGTGTTTATGAGTTCTGAGGAATTGGGAGAGTCTGAGAATCCTTGATAAAAGGCTTGATAGGCACCTGGATTTATCCCAATAGTTTTGTCAACACTCTGCCGTATCACACCTCAGTTGTTTCTTGAGCACAAAGGGATATAGAAGATGAGAGGGCAAGAGATTTCAATTTGTCAGTAAACAGCATTCACAATTTTCCTTCCACAATGCATTGTATTTTAAAGTGAAACATGTGAGAAAAAGGGCTTTCTTTGAAAAAAAGAAAGGCAAATGTCATGTAACCTGTTCCAACATCCATAATCCCATTTTATTTATCCTGAAAAAATATAGAATAAATTGGGGGAAAAAAGACTGAGTGGTAAAGGTCTAGGAAAAGTTAAGAAAAGAAAAGAAAAAAGAAAATAATTTTTTTAAATATTTAAATAAATAATCTAAATATTTAAAATCAGAATAACATGCATGGATGAATTGTGCACAATAACAACAGTAATTAGGGTCCATTTTGAATTTATGTTGACATTAAAATGTAAAAAAAAAAATTATTCTGGTTTTGGAAAATGTACAAAACAGCAATACTATATTAAAGAGATCATAACTGATTAGTTGTGAACTACTGTTCAAAAGTTTCTTTTTAAAAGAAATCAATACTTTTATTTAGCAAGGATGCACTGACTTGAACAAACGTGACATAAACACATGTATAATAAGATTTCTATTTCTAATAAATGTTGTTATTTTAACTTCCCATCAATCAAAGAATGTTGGGGGAAGAAATCCAAGGTTTTCACAAAAATATTAAGTAGCACAACAGTTCTCAGCATTGATAATAATAAGAAATGTTTCTTGAGCATCAAATCAGCATATTAGAATGATTTCTGAAGGATCATGTGACACTGAAGACTGGAGTAATGATGCTGAAAATTCAGCTTTGATCACAGGAATTAAAAAAAATATATATTTAAATAGAAAATATTTATTTTAAATAAAAAAGTCATTCTGTTTTTACTGTATTTTCGATCACTTGGTTCACCTTGGTGAACATACGAGCTGTCTTTTATAATTTTCAAACAGTGTTTATTTGTTCATGAGATGAGTCTCTTTTTTTTTTACACGTGTGGATGAATCATACCTGCTCTCTTCCTTGTCTTGTCAATGTAATGCAGTTCATTCTCAAGCAGAGGCTGAGGGGGCGTGTCCTAAAGGGAGGGGTGGGCAGATCCGTTCCGGCCTGTGCCATAATCTATTCATGACAGCTCTTGAAGGAGACTGAGACCCAGCTGCTCTAATTTAAAAATAAAGACCCCCACCTTTATCAGCCCCTCCTTCCTCCATCTCTATTTCACAGGAGACCCCCTTTCTTCTCCATCCCCCTCAGTCCTGTCATGTTCTTTTCATTTGGGACTCCTCGAACACGGACTGGGAGATGATTAACCGCTTCACGTTTAGCTTTGAAAAGAGCAGTTTGTCGTTCCAAGAAAGAGCCGTCTCTGACCAGCTGCCATTACAGGCATGAAAAGACTGAGGCTGTTTCTGTGCCCAAAACAATGGAGAACTAGCAGGGGTCCTGTGTTGTGATATTCAGGGTTCTTGCTTATGAATAATATATGCATATTAACAGGACTGTCACAATGGCAACGTGCGTCGAAACGTGTAGCAAATCAACCTCATTAGAATGCAATCAAGTGAAGTAGTGAAAATGCAATAAGGCAGAGACAGCAGGAAAGAAGGTCAGAGAGCGATGCCTAACGCGATTCCACTGACATTCTTTGGCATGCTCACGCTCAGATAACGTCTATGCAGGCTCATGGGAAAAAACTGACAGATATCGTGTGTGTGCTGTCTGAGATGTACAAACCTGGACAGGATAGGCATCACTTAATTTTATGTGGAGGATGCACAATCTCTACAATCGATTGTCTTATACTGTGCACTTGGTGTTGATTAAGACAATGAAACATTAAAAATGTATTTTTAAAAACTGTATGACATAGCAATTCAATTAAATGGACTAAGGTTCAGTCGTGTCAATATATTTTAATTTGTTTTATTATAAATGTATTTATATATGGTAGTTTCGTACATATAAAATATACAATATCACATTTTATTTTAATTTATTTTATATTTTATTTTATTTTTTATGGAATTGATATCCTTTATTATTTTATTTAACATTTAACTGGTATTATTATATATTTATTTTTATAGTCTTGCACATATAAAATTATAAATTTTACATATAAATGATTATTTATTACTTTTATGATTATTTATAGATTTAATTTTTAATAATTAAATCCTGATTATCTTTATTATTTATTTAATATTTAACTGATTTTATCATACATTTATTACAATATTGTAGTCTTGTACATATGAAATTATTTATTTAATTTAATTTAATAATTTATTTATTAATTTAATTTATTAATTTAATAATTTTATATTATTCATTTATTTATATTCATTTATCTAATTTTATTTCATTTAATTTTAGAACTGAATCATGATACCCGTTATTTTTATTTAATATTTAACTGATTTTATTATATATTTATTATTATATGGTAGTCTTGTACATATAAATTATTCATTTAACACATACACACATTGTTATATAATTATTCATTATTATTTTATTTTCATTTTTGTTTTATTTTAAAACTGAATCCAAATACTCTTTCTTATTTCATTTCTGATTGATTTTATTATACGTGCTATTTATCATTATATAGTATACTTTAACATCTAAAATTTACAATACATTTCATTTTATTATTTCTACATTTCTTCCATTTTATTTTATAATTGAAATCTAACACCCTTTAATATTTATTTAATATTTACCTGATTTTAAAAAAGTCCATCAAATAATTAGGCCACAAAAAAACAGCTTTGGAAAACAAGGTGGATGTCATTTGCATGCATAGCCCCGCCCATTCATGCATATGTAATCCTCGCGAGTGTGGGCCCCGCCCCTCCCCCCGTGAACGCGATGTATAGATGGAGCGCTCTCCTGGCCGCACTCGCAGCTTTTCCTCTCCAGTCCGTGGGCATTGTTGTAAAAACAGAAGGACAATACAAGAATAGAGTGGCGGATAGTAGAACCTCAAAAGAGGCATCAGGGAATCTGTCCTCTATTGGACCTGAGTGCATGAGGCACTATATGAGTTTATTTTCACAGGCAGCGAGCAGACAGACAGAGGAGGCATGACTCTGAGACGGAGTCCAAGTTTTGCGGTGCTGTGCGTTCATGTGCTTTTGCGGTGCCTGTGGATGAGGGTACGTGCGGTTTGGCTTTCACAACTGTTTATACGACGCAATGTGAACATGCATTTGTGGATCGGATGACACTAATTAGGCTACTGAGTCGATCTCATTCGATTCATTTGGATTTTGAGACTTTCTTTTTGCAGTTTCCAACATTTTTGTAGGCCCTATGCGCTTTTTTTTCGTATTCGTCATCCTTTCCTATCAAAATGCTTGCTACGGATGCGAAAACGCAAAAAATCGAATTGGGTGCAAATACCTTTTTACACTGGAATAGAACTGAAAATGAATAGACTGAGAGATGACAAAGACAGATGTCCCATGTGACAAATACTGTACTCTTAATTTTGCATATTGTGTTGTTGCAGGTTTGTGAGGCGTCGGGGCACTTTGAGATGCAGGTTTTGTCCATGCAGAACTTGAACGGGGAGCTGCAGAGCGGCGTGTGCTGTGACGGCGCGCGCGTCGCGGCGGACCGCTCATGTGCGGCGGATGAGTGCGATACGTTTTTCCGCGTCTGTTTGAAGGAGTATCAGTCGCGGGTGTCTTCGGGAGGCCCGTGCAGCTACGGAAGCGGATCTACTCCCGTTATCGGTGGGAATACTTTTTCTGTCAAGCCCCTCGACGGCGCGAGCGATAAATCCAGGATCGTGCTGCCCTTCAGCTTCGCCTGGCCGGTGAGTTCAAAAGGCTGTTTTGGTAGCAAAGCCGTTGGGAAATCGTAATCTGATTAAACAAGTCTGGGATTACGGGAGACCGGGACAAGTTGTCACGCTCTTTACCACAGTAAATATTTCCCACGGTGGGTTTATTTGTGAAAGTCAGTTTGTGTATAGACTATTTGTTCAGAAGAGCCACTGTTATTGGCCAAAAAAATGTGACCCCGGACCACAAAACCAGTCATAAGGGTCAATTTTTTGAAATGGAGATTTATGTGCTGAATAAATAAACTTTCCATTGATGTATGGTTTGTTAGGATAGGACAATATTTGGCTGAGACACAACTATTTGAAAATCTGGAATCTGAGGGTGCAAAAAATCAAAATATTGAGAAAATCGCCTTTAAAGTTGTCCAAATGAAGTCCTTAGCAATGCATACTAATAATCAAAAATTAAGTTTTGATATATTTATGGTAGTAAATGTACAAAATATCTTCATGGAACATGATCTTTACTTAATATCCTAATGATTTTTGGCATAAAAGAAAAATCTATAATTTTGACCCATATTGTTGGCTATTGCTACAAATATACCCGTACGAATTAAGACTGGTTTTGTGCTCCAGGGTCACAAATGTAAATTTGTTGTGACAACATGCCCCAAAAGCTGATCATGTGAACCTGTGACAACTTGCCCCGGTGTCACCTACATACCATTTTCCATGATGCTTGCAGCGTCTCATTCTGTTTGTAAACATGCAGTCGACGTTTCTCAGGATTCTGATTTCCAGTTGTTGTTTTTGAACGCCGGTGTTATGCTACCAACACTGTATGTTTAATACTGTAAAGGTAGGTTTAGGGTTGAGGTAGGTGTACATGTTAATAAAGCCTCACACCACATTAATATCATGCTGGAAGCAAAATCTGCTGGGTAGCATTTTTCGCTGTCGAATTATGCTACCAACTGTTTTAATGGGAGGTAGCGAAATCTGACAGCGTAGCACAAATCAACAGAACACCGGTTCTGTCCCGTTCATGGCATTGTATGATGACGCTCAGGTTGGACAGGGGTTGTTACCCCACCCTAGCCAGCACAGTCCACCAGTATCCTCTCAAAATAGCAGGACAATGCGCTATAAAACACCTGAGTTTATCTCCAGCACCTACTGATGGACATTCAGAGGCTGTTTTACACACAATGGCCACAGGAAACTGCTCTTAGATATCCAGTCAGACCACCATTGATCATTTAAAGGGGGTTATCTCACTATCTCTAAATCTCTTAATGAAACCTATAGTGAGCTGCCTACCTAGGCAGCATTTTTGTGCATCATAGGTGCCCCGCTAGTCCAAAACTTGCATATGATGCTGGAAAATTAATGCTGTCTTGGTTGGTCCACTAGGTTTTGAGACACATCCAATAATGCAACCTTCAAACTACGCATGCATTCAGATGTGAGGGTTTTAAATTACCAGTGCTTATATACAATATTATGACAATATAATGCTGTATGCCAAAATAAAAAATGACAATACAATAGCAAATAATAAATCAACACATATTCTACTAAATATTTGCTTAAAATTCATAAAAGAATTCATATAACATGGTCATTGTTGGTTATTACATGGTTATTACACATGGTTATATGTTGATAATTTCAAAATAGCCAAAGATTGGCCAATTATTCATCCAAGATGTATTGTTATGAATATATTTAGCTTGTGATAGACCAACATATAGTTTGTTTTTTGGTCATTTTAAGATTATTGCCATTTGCTGATTACCAAGTACGGTTGATTGACAGAAGTGTTAGTCCCCCTTTAGTTAGTTCCCAAAATTGTCAATGAATAATATAAATGTTTTGGGTATATGTGAGAAAAGACTGTGCAAAATAAGTGTGAATTTTGTTAATTTTGCAATTTTTGCAATCACATTTGATACATTTTGACCAGTGACCACCACCTTGATTATCTTTTATTCACATTATCAACTTCTGTGAAAATAGGATGAGTTCCAAATCGATTCATTTTGAAATTATTTATTTGTAATTATTTTAGTTTAGGGTTGGTGAATTCATCAAAATCTTCAAGTCTCAATTATTTTATTTTATATTGATTAATTTTAAAATTATTTATTTCTAATTAACTTAAGTAAGTATTGTGTAAAATAAATAGGCCTGCACATTTAATTGCAGAAATTGTTAAAATAAAATATGAAATAGTGTGGTAGTCTTATATCAGTTGACCATTAGACATCAGCCTTTGAAAATCTCTTATCAGTCAGCCGCAACTTTTTTTTTGACCATCGCCCAAGGCAGATCTGATTGTGGCATCTATTTTTCTCCACTCTGAATCTGAATGGTGCAATTGTTTTTGCTGAAGCCCATGTTTCCTTTCACAACTCATAAGGCCGAGCTGTCAGTACGAGGTCAAAGCAAGTCAGTCTGATAGTCCAATTAGGGCCAGTTACCGTGGCAGCCGCGCTCAAACATCTCACCCCCTGCCCACGTCGATCAGAGCGGTCTAGACCTGCCTCACAGCCGCTCTGAATGCAGATTAATTAGACATTGTCATCTTGCATGCTTTCTTTTCCATCACAAGTCTACCTAGCAATTGAACTGTGTGCAGCCTGTGACGCTGGATTGTGGGACGGGGGTTCAACAAAGCGGGTTTACAAAGAAACACGGGGGGTCTTTGCATGAGTGTGTGTGTGTTCTGATCTATTTGTTGTTCGTTTTCGCATCATCAGCAGTGGTCAGATGAAAATGCAGGGTGTGTGTGTGTATGGATGTTTCAGACGGAGTCTTGGTAACCAGCGTCCTGCTGGTAGTGAACTTGGATGAGAAGAAGGCTAGAAGATTGATTGTACTGTAGATATTTCATGCTTCACTCATAAAAAAATCTTTGACGGTTCCGTAAATTCAGCGAAAACTTTTTTTTAAGAACCTTTTTCACTGTATAGGGTTGTTGAGTTGCTCTTTGGTGAGGTTCTGTTATATTTAATAGGTTCTCAGATCCATATATTGGTTTAAGGGATCTCTCAGTCATAATAACATCCTTTTCATTTATGTGAAATTAAATATGGCAACTGCTAAAGGTCTCTAAACTCTTAAAAATAAAGGTTCTGTACTGGCATCGATGGATCCATTTAGAACCTTGAACATTCACTGAATGATGGAAAAATTTTCTTTAGATTATTCAAATGTTCCTCACACTAAGAAAAACATAGTTCTTTTAAGAACTGGTCACTTAAAGGTTCTTTAGGGAACCCAAAAATGGATCTTTTATAGAACTGCTGTGAAAACCTCATTCTGGAACCTTTATTTTTAAGTCTGTGGGTTGTGAAACCCTTTTGGGCACCTTTACCTGTTACTTTCACTTTATAGAAGTTCACTTGTGAGGTTCTGATTAGAGCTGGCCGATATAATAGATTTGCAATGATTTTATTGGAAATGTAACTTGAAGCAACATCAGAAATATCTTGATGGTGTATGTTTAATTCAATTCTGTGAATCAAACTATATGCTTCAATAAACCAGTGCATGGAATTTTTTATATATTACAGGTTTTGTAAACAATATTTTGGTATTTATTGTTATATTGGCACATATAAATGAAAATGATCAAATATTCTTAATTAATTCTGTTCAAATAGTGAAAGACAAGCCTTGAATATTTTCTGTAACTAGATTTCTAGTTCTTGCATCAAACACGTTGAATCTTATTGGTTACACTGACAATTTCATTGAAATGATTGTTCATCTAATTGAAAGAAATGTGCTTTTAAGCCATTTCAGAGCAAATATTGAGACATAAATATTGAGATATAAACATTGAATACGGTCAAACAAACATCTCAATCAGTGTGACGTGAGTTCTGTCTGAGAGGCTCTTCATGTCTTTCTCACACTGTCTCTAGTTCAAATCACTGAGGTGTCACTTGGGGATGAGTCCTGTAAACCTACTGTGTCTTTCTGTGTGTGGGTTTGAACTCATACTGCACTCACTCGTCTGACTTCACCTTCATTTGTGTGTGTGTGTGTGTGTGCATGTGGATGGATGGATTAAAGCTCATAAAGGCCTGTAGATCCCTCAGACTGCAGAGGCAGGAAGAGCCGGCATTACTGGTGTGTGTGAGGTCTCAGATCTCAGAGACTGTTTTCAACATTGATACTAATCAGAAATGTTTCTTGAGCAGCAAATCAGCATATTAGAATGATTTCTGAAGGATCATGTGACACTGAAAGGCTGCTGAAAATTAATAATTGCTATCACAGGAAATTACATTTTAAAATATATTCAAACTGTTAATTTAAATGGTAGTAATATTTCACAGTATGATAAAACATTTGAAACTTTCAGAAATTATAAAAAAATCTTACTGATTTTCTGAATGGTAACATTTTTGTTTTTTTGTAAACTTTATACTTTAAGATTAAAGTATACTTTTAAATGTTAAATTTTTTTAACTGTCAGAATTTTAAACTTTTAAATTCAAGATTAAAATTTGAAATGTCATTGTCTAGCATTGATAGAATGTCTAGAATAGACATTGATAGAATGCATATTTTTAACCATTTAGCTCTAAAATTAGTAAAAACCTAAAATTATGTGAAGAGCGCATTACTTACTGGTTTATCATTTTTCACCCCATACTAACACCTAAGATACTAAGATAACTTAAAGGGTTAGTTCACCCAAAAATGAAAATTCTGTCATTAATTACTCACCCTCGTGTTGTTCCAAACCCGTAAGAACTTTGTTCATCTTCGGAACACAAATTAAGATATTTTTGATGAAATCTGAGGGCTCTCTGACCCTCCCATAGACAGCAAGGTAACTACCACGTTCAAGGTCCAGAAAAGTACAAAGATGATCGACAAAGTAGTCCGTGTGACATCAGTGGTTCAACTGTGAAGTTACGAAGCTACGAGAATACTTTTTATGTATTAAAAAATATGACGTTATTACGCCGGAATAAAGTCGTTATTTTTGTTTTCTTTGAGCAAAAAAGTATTCTCGTAGCTTCGTAACTTTACAGTTGAACCACTGATGTCACACGGACTACTTTGTTGATCATCTTGGTACTTTTCTGGACCTTGAACGTGGTAGTTACCTTGCTGTCTAATGTCATTGTCTAGCATTGATAGAATGTCTAGAATAGACATTGATAGAATGCATATTTTTAACCATTTAGCTCTAAAATTAGTAAAAACCTAAAATTATGTGATGAGCGCATTACTTACTGGTTTATCATTTTTCACCCCATACTAACACCTTGAAGTCTTTCTCTTAATTTGGACTAAATCTCACCCGTTTTAGACTACTAAGATAACTTAAAGGGTTAGTTCACCCAAAAATGAAAATTCTGTCATTAATTACTCACCCTCGTGTTGTTCCAAACCCGTAAGAACTTTGTTCATCTTCGGAACACAAATTAAGATATTTTTGATGAAATCTGAGGGCTCTCTGACCCTCCCATAGACAGCAAGGTAACTACCACGTTCAAGGTCCAGAAAAGTACAAAGATGATCGACAAAGTAGTCCGTGTGACATCAGTGGTTCAACTGTGAAGTTACGAAGCTACGAGAATACTTTTTATGTATTAAAAAATATGACGTTATTACGCCGGAATAAAGTCGTTATTTTTGTTTTCTTTGAGCAAAAAAGTATTCTCGTAGCTTCGTAACTTCACAGTTGAACCACTGATGTCACACGGACTACTTTGTCGATCATCTTTGTACTTTTCTGGACCTTGAACGTGGTAGTTACCTTGCTGTCTATGGGAGGGTCAGAGAGCCCTCAGATTTCATCAAAAATATCTTAAATTGTTTTCCGAAGATGAACGAAGGTCTTACGGGTTTCGAACAACACGAGGGTGAGTAATTAATGACAGAATTTTCATTTTTGGGTGAACTAACCCTTTAAATCAGCAGAATTTGAAACACAAATGTTCAAAGAAGACATAAAACTCATACAATATCACCAAATGTGAGATTTACTGACGATGCAGCACTGGGCCGATGGAGCGAGTAACATTTCTGTCAACTGACCTGAAGCTCTCTCACCACTGGATCATTGTGAATGAACATAAAATGAACATTATCCAATTTAAAGCGATTCTTTGAGATTGTGTGTAATGGTGATTTAATGTGTTATTTCTTTCTTGCAGAGGTCATATACGTTGATTGTGGAGGCTTTGGACTTCAATAATGACTCAAGCACTGGCAGTGAGTATCTCTCATTCTCTCTCTCTCTCTCACACACACACATACTCACACACGCACATTATTCTGTATCTTTCAAGAGAGTACAGTCAGAAAGGGACAATGAGAGAGAGCGTGCGTGAAGGCAGCATGCAGCATGTGTGTATTTCTGTGTATTTCTGTGCGTGTGTGTGTTGTGGATGGCTGGCAAACACTTCTGTTACTAAACCACTGCCTGCACCTGCTTGCATTCATCAGTCTTTTAAACACATTGTTATAAGTGTGAGACAATCTTACACACACGCAGCAGGGAGTAAGTTAGAAATTTGGGTCATTACTTGCAATAGTTTTGTGTAGAATCAAAAATGTAATGTGTGTATAATACATTTTTATTATTTATCCCATTCAGATCTAAATAAGTGTGTGAGTGTGTGCCAAATCTGAACAGGAGGGCAAATATTGACTTGTACTTAACACCAACATGCCAAGTAGCCTTTAGCACGGGTCCAGCTTCTGTAGTGCAGCATTCATTATTAACACACACACACACACACACACACACACACACACACACACATGAATGCCATTAGTAAATGCGACAGCAGTGAACATAACCAATCAAATGATTGCTGTGTAACTAGTGATTAAAAACAAAATAAAGCAGTTGTGTTCACAAACAATAATACTCACAGTAATTCAGCAGTATATTTAATGTATACTGTGCACAATTAATGAACTGGGAATAAAATCTACTGTAATTTTATAATAAATATATTTTATGTAAATATTTAAATTATATTAGAATTTATTTTTTTTATTTAATTTATTATACATACAATAAATAGTGTATTTAAATTCATACACAATAGACATTTGGCCTAATATCTGCCTTTGTGTCTCAGAAACCTTTCACCTTTAATCCATAACACAAATCCGCTTGTTGTGATCAGATTTTGTATGCGTCAGGGTTGTGTAAACTGGCGTAATTTCACAGTCATGCTGAGCAGAGGCCTAATTAAACCACAGCTGCCCGCTAAAGTGTCCATTTCTCTCTGTCTCTCACTCCTGTAGGCATTAATGGTCAGGTCATAGAGAAAGCGGTCCAGTCAGGCATGATCAACCCAAACCGTCAGTGGCAGGTCTTGAAACACAACGGCCCCGTGGCTCAGTTCCAGTACCAGATTCGGGTGACCTGCGACGAGCACTACTTCGGCTTCGGCTGCAATAAGTTTTGTCGGCCTAGAGATGACTTCTTCGGCCACTATACCTGCGATCACAATGGCAACAAGACCTGCTTGGAGGGATGGGCTGGCCCAGAATGCAACACTGGTAAGGGGTGGAGCCTTTGTCAGATTTACAGCGCTGTTGTGCATGAATTTATGGATTTCACATTTCATAGTTGAGGTCTGTTTCCATTGGGCACATTATGTGTGCACACTACCATTTCAAAGTTTGAGGTTGGTACGATTTTTTTATGTTTTTAAAAAGGTCTCTTCTGCTCACCAAGGCTGCATTTATTTAATAAAACATACAGTAAAAACACTAATATTGTGAAATATTATTACAGTTTTAAAATAATTGATGTCTATTTGAATATATTGTAAATGTAATTTATTCCTGTGATGCAAAGCTGTGAATTTTCAGCATTGTTACTGCAGTCCTCAGTGTCACATGATCCTTCAGAAATCAGTCTAATATGCTGATTTGCTGCTCAATAAACATTTTTTAACAGCACTGGAAACAGTTGTGCTGCTTAATATTTTTTTTTTGGAGACTGTAATGCATTTTTTAAACATTATTTGATGAATAGCTTATCAAAGTTCAAAAATGATTGTTCAAAAGAATTTTTTTTTAAAAAGAAATCTTTTGTAACTTTATTAATGTATTTTTGGTGACTTTTGATAAATTGAATGCATTGCTGAATAAATATATACATTTCTAAAAAACAAAACAAAATCTTACTGACCTCAAACTTTTGAACAGTGGTGTATATGTGTATATAATATCAGGAAATTAAAAAAAATGTCCAAACCTGAAATACTAATGGAAATTAATTACAATTTTAAAAAAAGTTTTAAAAGTATTTTAAGTATTTTAAAAACATTTCTGTTTTTAAAATATGTTTTAAATAATTTTATAAACATTTAAATCGGCTACAAATTGTTCTTTTAAAAGAAATTCACAAAACAATGAAAAAATCACTGAAATTTGTTGTTCAAAAAGTGTGGGAATGGGATTTCGGCTCGGTCAGACTGGACTCATACTGGCTCTGAATCACTGACCTCATAGGGATGTTGTTATTTGAGATTGTCACTATCACAACAAAGCTTTGGCTCACACACACACACAGCATCCCGTCTGCCAGCTAGTGTGTGTTGTTAGTGTTTAATACGGTGTGGGTTTGGGACAGTATTAGGGTGGATTTTATCTCTGTAATAGTGTTTATTCCCTCATTCACTCCCGCATGAAGAAACACGAGTGGAGGGGAGGAGAAATGACATCATGTTGGCAGATGATGTTCAGAGCGGCTGGAATGGCGTGATGAGAGAGAACTGCTGAGATCACACAGATGGAGTTGATAGCAGTAACCATATTCCTCTTCCTCTCTTGTTTTCTTAGCCATCTGTAAGCAGGGCTGCAGCACTGAGCATGGCTCCTGTAAAGTGCCAGGAGACTGCAGGTAACACATAGCATTTATTTATTCGGATAATCGATTTAATGATTCTTTTCCAATATCAAGTGAGCTGACTTATGTCTAAATAGGCAGTGCCCTTCTAAGGTAGCATGCTAACTCAAAAGCCCGTAGCCTCATAAGTAAGCTCAAACGAAACCAATTTTCTGCACTGGCCTACTATTAAGTGACTAATTTGGAACACTACGATGGCAACATATAGAATCTCATAACTAGGGCTGCAAAAATTGTTTGTTTTTTTTTATGATAGAAATTGCAATTTTTCTTTAAATAGCTTTTTTGTGCATTTTTGTAGGGCTGCACAATTTGGTCACATTTTTGTATATGTATTAAAATTGTAAAAAATAATAATTATTACATTATTTTGATTATTGTTGCTATTAAAAATAATATACAAAATATGAAATATTTTAATTGTAAAAATACTTTCTCCCTGTAAAATAAAAATAATATTTAATAATAATAATTTAATTTTACAGTACAACTGTAAAATTGCAATACTATTTTATATGCTTTAATTTGCTTTTTTGCATATTCAAATTTTAAATCATCAAGCTTTTATTTTGGCAGAAAACTGCAGGAAATCCTCCTAGGTAGGCAGCTCACCTGGTATTGCAGCAGAGTCACATTATGTTTCAGTGCATGTGGTACAGTATTTTCAGAGATGATGTTCTGCCCTTCACAGGTGTCTGTACGGCTGGCAGGGCGAGTACTGTGACCAGTGTATCCCCCATCCCGGTTGTGTGCACGGCACATGCGTCGAACCCTGGCAGTGCCTGTGTGACACCAACTGGGGAGGGCAGCTCTGTGACAAAGGTAATTCTATTCTATTCTATTCTATTCCACGCCATTCTATTCTATTCTATTCTATTCTATTCTATTCTATTCTATTCTTCAGCCTGGGTCATTTGTTGAATTGTTTTGTATGGCATAGACTTGAACACCTGTGGCACGCGACAGCCCTGTCTGAATGGCGGCACCTGCAGTAACACAGGGCCAGACAAATACCACTGCGCCTGTCCTGATGGCTACTCGGGACAGAACTGTGAGAGAGGTGGGTCACACACACACACACACCTCACCTGGCTGATGTCTACCGTAAACATTCTGTAAATAAAAAAAAGAGGAAATTATGTCATGGGTGGGGGGGGTGGATGGGATGTGGCGCCAACTCCTGATTGAACTTTGTGACTTAAGTTCAGTTTCATTCTGAGTATTATGAATCACAAAAAACTTTTTATTTAATACACTACAGTTTGGGATTGGTAAGATTTTTTTTTTTTTTTTTGGGATAAGTCTCTTATGCTCACCCAGGCTGCATTTATTTGATCAAAAATACAGTAAAAACAGTAATATTGTGAAATATTATTACAATTTAAATGAACTGTTTTCTGTTTGAATATATGTTATAATGTAATTTATTCCTGTGATCAAAGCTGAATTTTCTGCATCATTACTCCAGTCTTCAGTGTCACATGATCCTTCAGAAATCATTCTAATATGCTGATTTATTATCAATGTTGGAAACAGTTGTGCTGCTTCATATTTTTGTGGGAACTGTAATACATTTTATTTCAGGATTCTTTGATGAATAGAAGTTCAAAAGAATAAAATCTTTTTCTAACATTATAAATGTCTTTACTGTCACTCTTGATCAAATTAATGCACCCTTGCTGAATGAAATTGTATTTGATGTGAGGAATATTCCACATTCATGGAAGTACTGGAGAAAAACCATCATGGATAAAATTCTGATTGATCTGAATTCTCCAAAGAAGAAAAAAAGTTCGATAGATGTTTTCTTGAGTGCACAGTTTGCATGTTTTTGATCAGAATCCCTCACGTTACTTATCAGCGAGTCATCAAATTAAGCCATGTATTGTGTTGCAGTTCATGTCAGCCATCTGGCGAGAAACTCAGTTTTATTTACTGGCCAAAGCCAAATTTGACTCACATTTGGCACTTGGTGACGGTTAATTTTGGATCCTTCATGTCCATATTTCTCTTTTCTCGATTCTGTCATCTATCTTTCTTTGGACAGGACATTTTTATGCGCAGTAAGGGAGAAAAGAGCAGAGAGACACACACGCAAACATACACTTACTAATCAAGCCGTTCGTATCCTGGCCAAGCCGAAGAATGCAGTGTGCATTCATTTGATTTGGGCAGAATAATGCATCACATCGTGTCACATATGTGTGCTGGAAAAATAGATCTGTTGCTCGGGTTGGTTTGGCACGGTGTGTCTTCTGTCAAACACACTTCACCAGGCCATCCTGGATGCAATAATAGAGATATTTTCTTGTTCTGCTGTTTTGGTTTTGCTCTGGTTTGCTTCGATTTTTGTTTATCCTTTTTCTTGTCATGTTTTATTGGAAATACAAGCTCACGGCCTCTTGCTACACTCGTCTGTTTTTGTTGGTGGTCTCTGTGCGGTGTGAGAAAGGCCAAAGGGGCTTTCCCGTCCACTGACTGATCTGATAAAGAGCGATAGAGCGAAGAGAGGGAGTGACTGGGAGATTGAAAGGGGAAAACCAAGACGTGACCCTGCCTGACTGTCTGTGAACTCTAAGACAATGTGATTTGAAGCAATAAAACTCACACTGATCCTTCTCTCTCTCAGTTGAACATTCAGCTGACCCTTTGCTAAACTCTGCGACTGTGGCTTGCTCTGAGAAGCTTTACAGAACATCTCATGATCTCTGAATTGGGGAAAAGCCCTGTTTTCAGTAAAGCTTTACAGAAACAGAGGACTGCTATATATTTGCATTAGAAAACTGTAAAAGATTTTTTTTTTGTGGCAGATATTAGTGAAATGTCAGTTTGCATGCTGTAACTGAGCATTTGTATTTCCACAGCATTGTAAAATAAGTAAAAAAAAAAAAGTCATAATGTACAGTCAGTGGGTCATATTTATTTTAGTTATTTTATATAGTTATTTTAGTATTATTTATTTACTATTAGAGTATTTATCAATATTTTGAATTGCCTTTATTATTTATTTATTTTACTTAATTTTTAATTATGCCTTTATTTATTTTGCCAATATTTTCAGTTTTTGTTTTAATTTTAGTAAATGTTTCAGTATTTTTTGTCATTTTTATTATTTTTTTAAATATTTTATATTATATTTTTTTCCTTTTATAAATGTAGGTATATTTTTATTTCAGTTTTAGTTTTGGTCATTCTAGTACTTATATAAGCTTAACTTAAACAACTTCTTCAGTTAGTTGCCAAGGCAAATGTTTTTAATATTTCTTTGTAAAGTTTTAATGTTTTATTTTATTTTATTTAAATTTTTATATATATAGTTGTATTATTTCAGTTTTAGTTTTAGTAATTCTAGTACTTATATAAGCTTAACTTAAACAACTTCTTCAGTTAGTTGCCAAAGCAAAATTTCTAATGTTTCTTTGAAAGTTTTATTTTATTTTATTCTTTTTTATTTTGTTTTATTTTTTGCAATTAATAAAACCTATTTTTAATGGTTTTCATTAACAATAACAACACTGCCTGACATGAAGTGACTACTAACCAACTAACTGGTTAAATAAATGGACATGAATTTTTGATTTGAGTTTTAATTATTATTACGTGAGTGGAAAGAGACCGTGCAGTCATAAGATGACATGAGACAGGCAGAGGCATACACAGTGCTGCTAGATAGAAAGGGAGTTTGTCATTGTTTGGCAAATGTGTGGTCCATGTGTTTTATTTTGGGGTAAAATGTCTGTGTATTTTGTGCATTCCTTTGGAAAATGCTGTTCTGTCTCAGTTTTGCTTTGATTGTGTGTGAGCACTACATTATAACATCTCTCTCTGGCTCTCTGCAGCGGATAACGCCTGTCTGTCTGAGCCGTGTCTGAACGGAGGCAGTTGTGTGGAGTCCAGTCAGGGCTTTGAGTGTCAGTGTGCGCCGGGCTGGACCGGACCGTCCTGCAACATCAGTAAGCCATCTCTGCACTGTCTCAAACTGCTCAGATTGGCCTTTGGTTTTTCATACATCAAACTACTTTGAAGGAGAGAGCTGAGCCATATATAGAAACCAGAATGAGACTTGGAGTTGGGCTCTTTTGACTCAAGCCAGAGAGCAGCCACCCAGAATAACCGAGCAACTGCATGTCATCACATTAAAATCACTCAGAACACCGTAGCAACGGCATAGCAACACCATTTGAACTTTTTTCAATTAGGCTATTTGTCCCTTATTCTACAAGTAAAATATCCTAACTAGGGGTGGGCAAAATTGTTTTTGTGCTTAAAAAACAAAAAAACTTGCCAGTAGACAAGCAAACATATGTTCTATGAAAATATGTCTTACACAATGTTGCTTTTCAAATAAGCAAATCTTGCTTTAAGGATGTTTAGAAATTTTTGCTTTAAAATAAGACTAAGAAAATACTTATTACTAATGATTAAATAATAATGTTAAAAATATTAATTATATAGTATAAATTAAGATTTTAATGTAGTTATATTAGTTATTATTAAGAAATATATATTAATGATTAAATATCATTAACAACAGTGGCCAACGTTAATAATAATAATAACAATAATTGTCATTTTTACAGTACTTTTGGAAATAGTATGATTTTTAAATATTTTGAAAGAAGTCAATTTGATCAAAAATACAGTAATACAGTTGCTATTAATAAAACTAAAAAATACAGTAATACAGTTGCTATTAATAAAACTATTAGTAATTTGCAAAATGTTATTATCATTTGAAATAACTGTTTTCTATTTGAATATATTTTAAAATGTAATTAATTCCTGTGATGAATTTTCCTTCAGAAATCATTCTAATATATTAGAACAAGATAACTGAAACCAAACTCTGAATTTCAGAAGTCTCTTAAACTATGATGTCTCCTCCTCTTCCTCAGATGAAGATGACTGCAGTCCAAACCCGTGCAATCACAGCGGCGTGTGTGTGGACCTGGTGGACGGTTTTAAATGCATCTGCCCCACGCAGTGGACTGGAAAGACCTGTCTCATTGGTGTGTGTGTGTGTGTGTGTGTGCCCCTCTGTGTGCCTCCCTCTCTTTCTTTGAGTCAGGGTGTGTTTGTTCAAAAATCCAATTTACCGTGGTAACCGAGTCAGCCTTGGAAGAATTTAAGTACCAGACCACCATGAGACCCCCGCCGCTGATTCATACAAGAGCGCATTTACAGTCCATTAACACACACGCACAAATTCCTGAGGGACGCTTGGCTGCGTGCGTATCAGTCTGATTGTAATTTAGACTGCGCTCATGCTGATTTCTTTTGTCATTTTTGGCTCAGATGCTAATGAGTGCGAGGAAAACCCGTGCGTCAATGCCCACTCCTGCCGGAATCTGATTGGCGGATACTTTTGCGAGTGCCTCCCTGGTTGGATGGGCCAGAATTGCGACATCAGTAAGTATTTCACGGTTTCAAATGAATGCAGGCAGAGTTTGAATTATTAGGAGCTCTAAAAGAAGTTCAGATGTTTGCATATCATATAGCAGTGTTGGGTGTAATGCATTACTAAGTAATTAATTACTGTAATTTTCCACTGAAAAAGTAAAGTAAGGGATTACTCTTAATTTTTCTGTGATTTAATTACAGTCACCTCTAATATAATTGCATTAAATACTCTATAGACTATAGAACAATTCTCTGTAAAACAATGGTGCAGTTAAAATCAAAATATTACATCTAATGTTAAAATGAATTTTTTTTAATGTAACCTTCATTTAAACATTTTGGTTTGGTCATATATGTATATATATATAGTTTTTTTTTTTAAGAATTAAAGAGCAGTTTTATGTCTGTCCTTGTATTGTTCAGCTGGACGAGATTGATATGGGATTTGGAAAGTGATTAGTAATAAGCAATGCAATACTTTAGAGAGAGTAATTAGTACAGTAATCTAATTACACTGTTGGAAATGTAATTAGGAGCTAGTAATTAGTTTCTTTTTTAGAGTTGTTAAATAAACCTATTAAAAATGTCTTCATTTGTTGCAATAAAGCTGAAATAAAGTCAAATTATTAGATGAATATTAGATGAAAAGCTTTACCGAAAATGCTTCCTTGACAACTAAATGAAAAAAAAAATTATGAAATACTAAAATAACCAAAATTAAAACAGAAATAAAAATAAATTAAATTATTATTCTATTAGTAAATAGAAATATAAAAAAAAAATACTAAAACTAAAAAAGACATTAAAAAATAATAATAGTATATAAATTATACTAAATAACACTAATATTACTTGCTAAGCATGACAGTAGTTGTCCATTATTTATTTCATATTTTTCCAAAAACTAGTGGTTTAGTGTGGCAAAATACAACATTGCTCTCTAGTAGGTTCATTGAAATGAATCCGTTCCAAAAAAATGATTCACCAATTAATTTGATTCATCAAACAGTTTTCCTAAAGATCCCAGCATGACATTTAAGCAAAGCCCTATCAGTTGTAGTATGGATATGAATGATACCTAAAATCGTGCAGGTCATTGAGAGAGAGAGAGAGAGTTTTTTTAATGACCAGACATTTAATTTTTGTCTGGTTGATAGTAAAATGGTCAAAAACAACTGAAATAGACTTACTGAAGGAGTGACCAGAGCAATATTTAGATACCAGAATATCAGAGATTTGGCAAATGCATTGCCACTTGTAAGTTTATTCAGTATTTTGACTAATTTTATTAGCTTTCAGCTGCTAAAAGCGTCTAGTATTCTCAGCCATCTCTGTTTCACATGTTTCACCTGGTTTAGAATCAAGATTTTCTCCCGAAAATGCCAAAAATGCAAATAAGTGTGCAGACTCTGTCTGGGCCTGATATGGAGCCTGATCTTGCTTTCTTGGCGTGATTTCTGAAATGTGAACTGATATTTTGATGGGTCCCCACCCCCCGCAGATGTCAACGACTGCCACGGACAGTGTCTTAACAGAGGACTGTGTAAGGTAAGGCCTCAAATGTTTTCCAGCGCTTTTGGCAGATGTGAAAACCCCCCGTTTCTATCACCTCCATCCATTCCTGTTTAAAAATAGCAGAAGCTGAGTCATGTTTTAGAGAGTGAACATAAAGACAAAGTGGTCAAAAAGACAGAGTGAGTTTGTGAAACGATCGGATTACCATAAACATTCTTGTCTCCTGCCCTTGTCTCCTATCCATTGTTTTTTCACTCTCTCTGTATACGTTGCTCACTCTGGTTCAGCGCTGTAGTCCAGAGTGGTGTACAGCTGGAATGCATTAGGACTTTGTCTGAGCCAGTTAGCTCTCAAAACACAGCGAGGAAAGACCTAATCAGTCCTGACAATCCCGTCTTTGATTTGATCAAATGAAACATGTTGTAATGGACTTTAGGTTATTAGTCCCTTATAGAAAGTAAAATATCTGTACTGGGGTGAGCGTTATTGTCTTGTGTTTGATTTATGCTTAAAAGAAAAACTATTTGTCAGTGGGCCAAGAAAATAAAATTCAAGATGCATTCTATGAAAGTATGTTGTATCTTACACAGTTTTGCTCCTCAAGTAAATTAATCTTGTATTAAGGATGTTTTTTTAGACATTTTTGCTTTAAAACAAGACTTTAATTTAATAATTATTAATATAAAGGACTAATTGTTATTGAATTATATTAATAATGATTATTAATACTATTAATACAGTTAATTATTTTAATGTATAGCACAGAAAAGTTAATAATAATAATAGTAATTGTTGTTGATGTTATTAATATATTGTATAGAAAGTAAGAATTCAGAAAATCTATAAATTATTAAATAATATTAATAATTATTGTCAAATCATATTATTAATAACAATAATAATAGTAATTGTTGTTAATATTATTAATATTATAATTAATGTTTACAGTAATTATTATTTATCATTTTACTCAGTTTGAAATAATAAAATACTAACAATAACAATAATTTTATTATACAATATAATATATTATTATTATTTCATATGGATTAGTGTCAATTATATTATTAATGATTGTTAATATTAATAATATTTATACAATTACTTTTTTTACTGTATAGCAAGGATGAATTGTTATTATTAATATTAATAATAATTATAATAATTATTATTACCAGAATTAAGAAATTATGCAATATATAAATACTACTACTACTACTAATAATAATAATAATAATAATAATTATTATTATTATTATTATTATTATTATTAATAATGTTTACAATAATTACTGTGTATCATCTTCATCAATATGAAAAATAACAACAACAACAACAATGATTTTATTTCACAGTATATTCAATTATTATTATTTCATGCAGATTTTTGTAATATTTATTTTTTGAGTGAATATACCATTACACCGCCCATTCCTAATGTCTCTCTCTCTCTTGCTCTGTGTGTGTCTGTCAGGATCTTGTGAATGGATATCGATGTGTGTGCGCAGCAGGCTTTGCAGGTGAACACTGTGAGCGAGACGTGAACGAGTGCGTTAGTCGCCCCTGTCTCAACGGCGGACGCTGCCAGGACGCTGTCAACGGATTCCAGTGTCTGTGTCCACCTGGTTTCTCAGGTGCCACGTGTCAGGTGAGCTCCAAAACCTTTTCTGGTCATTAATGATTTGTTGTAAACGTACCTACATAAACCTTGTGAGCAGGTATTTGAGTGTGTGTGGTCTGTGTGATTTTGTCTTCAGCTGGACATAGACTACTGTGAGAGCGGCCCATGTCAGAACGGAGCTCAGTGTTTTAGCCTGGCCTCAGATTACTACTGTAAATGTCCCGAAGATTACGAAGGCAAAAACTGCTCCCAACTTAAAGACCACTGCCTCATCACACCATGCCAAGGTAGGTTATAAAATTGAAAATTATTTTATCTTTATTTATTTCATTTAAATTATTTATTTCACTTTATAGAAAATAAATGGGATTTTTTACTTCTTTGTTACTTCTTTTACGTCTTTATTTCGCAAACCTGAGCTAGTTGGTTTACTGTCAATGAAAGACATCCGTTGAAAATCCGTGTTAGCTCTAGAGCGAATACTGGAGGAGTCCTGAAGTCTCCAGCTTCATTGAGTGCTAATCGGCGCTCTCTAAAGACTCCAGATCGCGAGCCTCATGTAAGATTATCTGGTTGGGCACATTCTGAGGTTTTAATGGGCACTGGAAATAGAAGTCCATTCTTTTTTTAGTCAGCGCAGCCGTAAGACTATCCTCATCTCAAGGCCTCGGCGCGTTTGATGCTGTGCCATTGTGTACACCGTAGCGTTAGCGATGGCTAACTCTAGTCTATTGGTCTCCTGGGCTGGAGCACCATGATAACAGCTAGGATATCGTTACACGACACATATGCTAACCCAGAGTGAGCTTACCGAGAGGGGAAAACCCACCGCTAGTCAGACTACATGACGACTTGGCTAATTCTTAGTCAGTGACATATTTGGATGAAGGCAGAGTTCCCATGGTGATGGAAACCCTGGAAATATTTTCAAATGTTATTTAAAAGTCATGTTAATTAAAAGATATCATATATAAATTATTGCTGGGCAACGATTAAAATTGTTTCATTGCGATTAATCACATGATTTTTCTGCGATTAATCACATTGTTATGCACAAAATTCAGTCATGAATTCAAAAGTAGTGTATTGCGCAAAACAAAACTGCAATAACATTTGGTTTGCAAACACTTTAAACAAATAAGGTGCTTT